CTGGTGTGTTGAAATTTTAATTTCCTAAGAGCAAACATAAAGTATATAAAAGTCTTATAATAAACAAAACTGCTTAATTATTAGTCATTACCTATGTTTATCATTTTTAGTGATAATATTTACTTTAAAATATTAACCTAGATATGCAAAACTCATTATATGTGTATAATAAAAAAAAATATTTATCATTAAAAATAATTTCATTAGAATAGTGTTTTTTTGTATTATTAATGCATTGTTCTTATATATAATATAAACCATACAAATTATTCAAATTACACTACCGTCGCGAATCCAGACCCAGCTTTCCGGTTAATCCGGACAGTCTGGTCCCATCAAATCCGGATTAGTGAGATTGTAATAAATTCTTACCTAATGGTTATAACAAGGCGTTCTTCTGGAAGAATCTTGTGTTTGTGCAAATTACACCAATTCTTCATCATGTGAGGTTCATTTTTTTTTAAATGTAGTAGAACGTTTCCACTTTCATCCTAAAATATTGGAAGAAACGTTTCCTATCGACTTTTAATTGGGGAAACAAATGGTGGTACTCCCCATATTCACTCCTTAATCTATTAATTTCGTGAACACCGATTCTCTCACGTTTTAATTTATAATGACAACTATCCGTAGCCATTAACAAGCACGCTAGAGTTTCATTAGAAAACCCCTCCATGTTTACAACTGCGAAAACACCCCCCAATTTAAGTTTTTGGATCAACAGCTTCGAACGCGTCGAATGAGAAAGAGAGACTGTTGAATGACTGTCGATTGCGACTTTTTACAGATTAAAAGTTTATGAAGTGGTTTTATTTTTATATAAAAATGTAATAAAGAAAACCCCCGTTTCCCTCAAAACAAAATTTCTTCCCCCAATAATCCCCCCATCCCTTTAAAAACCCTCCGCGTCTTGTATTATCTGCCTCCACTGTGGCCATCACCTGCTTTCCTCAAGTTGACATCTCACGAGCCTGTTTTCTGAATCTGAATCTGCGTGCACTCTGGCCGTACCCACAGGCTCGTGAGATGTCAACTTGAGGAAAGCAGAGAGAGACAGTGGAGGCAGATAATACAAGACGGACGTGAGCACTGTTGCCAGATTGGGGGGGGGGGGTTACCCCAAATTTGGGGGGTTTTTAAAGCGATGGGGGCATTAATGGGGGGAAGAAATTAAGTTTTGGGGGAAACGGGGGTTTTCTTTATTATATTTTTATATAAAAATAAAACCACATCATAAACTTTTAATCTGTAAAAAGTCGCAATCGACAGTCATTCAACAGTCTGTCTTTCTCATTCGACGCGTTCGAAGCTATTGATCCAGAAACTTAAATTGGGGGGTGTTTTCGCAGTTGTAAACATGGAGGAGTTTTCTAATGAAACTCTAGCGTGCTTGTTAATGGCTACGGATAGTTGTCATTATAAATTAAAACATGAGAGAATCGGTGTTCACGAAATTAATAGATTAAGGAGTGAATATGGGGAATACCACCATTTGTTTCCCCAATTTAAAGTCGATAGGAAACTTTTCTTCCAATATTTTGGGATGGAAGTGGAAACGTTCTACTACATTTAAAAAAAAATGAACCTCACATGATGAAGAATTGGTGTAATTTGCACAAACACAAGATTCTTCCAGACGAACGCCTTGTTATAACCATTAGGTAAGAATTTATTACAATCTCACTAATCCGGATTTGATGGAACCAGACTGTCCGGATTAACCGGAAAGTTGGATCTGATTCTTAATGAAATTATTTTTAATGATAAATAACATTTCTTTATTAAACACATATAATGAGTTTTGCGTATCTAGGTTAAACTTTAAAATTTTGAAGTAAATATTATCACTAAAAATTATAAACATAGATAAGGTGCACTCAGATTCAGACTCAGAAAACAAGCGCGAGAAATAAACAGTGTAGTTAAAGCAGGGTGGCCATAGTGGCAGCAGGCAACCTGCTTAGACTACACTGTTCATTTCTCGCGCTTGTTTTCTGAATCTGAATCTGCGTCAGTGTGACCAGATTCAGTATATTAATACTTTTTCAGTATATTTTATCGATTTTTCCGAACATCAGTATATTTTCAGGTATATTGCTGGCAGTCAGTATTTTCGGGTATATTTTGGTAGAAGTTATGGCAACACCGTAGTGAGTGATCGTCTTTGCGACAATGTTTGCGGAATTCCCCGGAACGAGAACATTGAGGACTTTCCCGGATTTAGTTTATGTTATCTATGAGCAAAGATAAGTAAGTTACAGATATGACAAGAAAGACGGCCGATGTCGGCGTTGTAGTATTGTAATACTAAATATACAATTATCAATCAATACATACTATTAATCAGACTTGCAGAATGATGTTCGCCTAAAACTTTACAACTGCTGGACCGATTTTAATGCGGTTTGCACTATTAGATAGAGCGTGAAGAAATGAAGGAGGTTGTGTAAATTTTAATCCTTCGAAAAGGATGTTAAAATATAACTCTAACATTTATTGTGAGTATGAATAAATAAAACGTGTTAAGAAAATCAGTATTTTTATTGGTATATCTGTCCTATGTAAGTCGGTATATTTCAGTATTTTTTGAGGTGCCTCGGTATTTTCGTAAAAATCTGGTCACACTGATCTGCGTGCACTCTGGCCGTACCCACAGGCTCGTGAGATGTCAGCTTGAGGAAAGCAGGTGATGTGAAGGTTACTCAAATTTGGGGGGTTTTTAAAGCGATGGGGAGATTAATGGGGGAAGAAATTTTGTTTTGGGGGAAACGGGGGTTTTCTTTATTACATTTTTAATTAAAAAAAAACCACTTCATAAACTTTTGATCTGTAAAAAGTCGCACTCGACAGTCATTTAACAGTCTCTCTTTCTCATTCGACGCGTTAGAAGCTGTTGATCCAGAAACTTAAATTGGGGGGTGTTTTCGCAGTTGTAAACATGGAGGAGTTTTCTAATGAAGATCTAGCATGCTTGTTAATGGCTACTGATAGTTGCCATTATAAATTAAAACGTGAGAGAATCGGTGTTCAGGAAATTAATAGATTAAGGAGTAAATATGGGGAACAACAAATGGTGGTAACCATTTGTTTCCCCAATTAAAAGTCGATAGGAAACGTTTCTTCCAATATTTTAGGATGGAAGTGGAAACGTTCTACTACATTTTAAAAAAAATTGAACCTCACATAATCAAGAATTGGTGTAATTTGCACAAACACAAGATTCTTTCAGAAGAACGCCTTCTTATAACCGTTAGGTAAGAATTTATTACAATCTCACTAATACGGATTTGATGGGACCAGACTGTCCGGATTAACCGGAAAGCTGGGTCTGGATTCACGAGGGTAGTGTAATTTGAATAATTTGTATGGTTTATAGCCGAGTTTATAGTATATATAGGAACAATGCATTATTGATACAAAAAAACACTAAGTATGTAAATGAAATTATTTTTAATGATAAATATTTTTTTTAATATATAATGAGTTTTGCATATCTAGGTTAAACTGTAAAATTTTAAAGTAAATATTATCACTAAAAATTATAAACATAGATAATGACTAATAATTTAGCAGTTTTGTTTATTATAAGACTTTATATATGTTTGCTCTTAGGAACTTAAAATTTCAATCACAGCTTTTAATTTACTGTACTATCACAAATAATGGTGTCAATTCTGACACGATTCTCTAAACCTAAACTTAAATTTGACAACAGTGTCAGTGTCAGTGTCAGTGTACGGAATGAAAAGGAGAGATTGATGTTAAATTTAGTTTTAAGTTTAGAGAATCACGCCAGAATCGACACCATTATATTTATATAATCCACTTAATAAGGGTACAAAATTATGGCTAACTATAAAAAGAAACAAAATTTTTTGGTTATTAAAAAGTACGTTTGGTTTATTATTAAACTACATGTTTGCTCTTAGGAATTTAAAATTACAATCACAGCTTTTAATTTACAGTTTACTGTATTATCACAAGTCTTATATTTATATAATCCGCTTAATTAGTGTACAAAATTATGGCTAACTATAAAAATAAAGACAATTTTGGGTTGGCAACCCTACCTGCAGTCCGAGCAGCGCTGGTGAATTCAGAATCTGAATGACCTAAACATTCCGGTAGTGTTTGACTCCGAAACCTGCGCGGGCAACCAATTGCCTGCTGCCACTATGGCCACCCTGCTTTAACTACACTGTTTATTTCTCGCGCTTGTTTTCTGAGTCTGAATCTGCGTGCACTCTGGTCGTACCCATAGACACAATCTTAGTAGGTAGGTAATCTATGGACTTGACAACTTGTTCTCCTTATTGGCACCTTATTCACAGATGCCAGATAGGGGGGATTCCCCCCAAATTGGGGGTGTTTTAAAGCAATGGGGGGAAGATATTTTTGGGGGGATTGATAGGGGGAAGAAATTTGGGTTTGTGGGAAACGGGGGTTTTTAATTATTTTTTTAATATAAAAATTAAACCACTTCATAATCTTTTAATCTGTAAAAAGTCGCGATCAACAGTCACTTTATCTCATTCTGTATAGAGCATAACAAGGATAGACTTTTGTCAAATTAATTTTATAAGGCTTCGAGAATCATGCCAGATTCGGGCCACTGAACTGTGTTCATTCCGTGAGCCCGATTCGGATCCCTAAGTCCAAAGCCCACTTAAAAAAGTATTCTTCGGTCCATTCCGTCTCGCACAGTCTAGTCGCTCGGTCAGTCGAATCTAGTAATATTTTCTTTAGATATAAACCATCTATCACCTTTGCTTAGCTATGTCGCAATTTGGTTGGTCCTTTTAATGTTTGCACCTTCGTAAAATAATAGCATTATTAAAACAAAGTTATGTAAAAAGGAGTGGGAAAGACGACGCGTGCGAAGTGTTGATCTAGTAATCCATTGCTGTCGCAAAAATACATACTATGTAGTAAATACTGTATTTTTAATAAATATTTTGCATGTTGGGGGGTTTTTTCTTCATGACCTGTATTTTGGGGAGATTTCGGGTAAGTTTTGGGGGGTAGGCTAATTGGCTTTCTGGTAACACTGATTATACTTGACTCGGCAGAGATCTAAATTATATTTTGATAAAATGTCCTTAATTTGCTTTTACTGATTTATTTTAACGTTCCAAGACGATGATGGTATGGGTGACGAAATCACCACTTCGAAAACACCGCCTTCATGGCAATCTTGTGTTCATTGTCCAAGTTTACTTTTCGCATCTGCTACGGAATTTGAAAGGTTGGTCTTACTCCATCAATTAACCATTTGATTATTTAGATATTAGGTAAAAATCCATTTTACCAATAAATAGGATCTTTATTTCTTACAGACATATTCAAGATAAGCACAGTATTAAAGAGGGATCTATTATTCTGTGTCAATATGGAAAGAATGGTATTTGCTCTGCACTACAATTTGGCGATTTACGTAAAGCAGGATTTAAATATCACGTAAGAGAATATCACTTGTATTCCAAAGATGAAAATGAAGATTGGACTTTTTATTCATCATCACAAAATCTTCCAGCAGTATTAAATGATCCGAATAGAGGAAAACAAAGTAATTTTTTTACTAAAACATGGGGTGATAGTTTTATAGATAAAATAGATATTCACCCTAGTCCTTATTTACCTGAAATTCATTTAGCACATTTCGAATCATATTGTAAAAAAATAGCAAAACGATATCGCAGACACAGTAAGTTAAAAGAAAATATTCCCTCTAAAAATAAGTCTCCAGTGGTAGAAAAAGTATGTGACATACCAGGTGTATTTTACGAACCATCATTGCCCTTAAATGATCCAAATATTTTTTACAAAGTATTTCCTAGTTTATGCAAATCTGATGATACTAGTGTGGCTATCAGATCCCTTAACAAGACCTTGAGTACATACCTTGATGTAATTGAAATGAAAATTTCTAAACAAGTAGCACTGAAATCAGATGCATTTTTCCATGCTATGCTTTCACATGATACAATAATGGAGCAAATGGAAAGAGCAGCTAAAACAGTTCATAAAACTCGACAAAATATAAAAAATGTAAAAGAAAACTTAACAGAAAGTCCTATGACATTAATTAGCTTGACAAGAATCAATCATAATCTTAGTAACATACATGAGCTATTTAAGTTAATGGGAACAGTACAACAAACACAACCTATGATTCAACTACTTCTAAGCACTTCAGATTATGTAGCTGCTTTGGATTTGATCAGTTCAACTCAAAAAGTATTGTCTACGAAACTAGTCGGCATCCAAGCATTTCGACATTTATCTCCCCAATTGACTGAAATGAAAAGACTAATCTATAAAATGCTTAGTAATGAATTTCAAAGGTTTATTACTGCAGACTTAAATAGACCCCCTAAAGATGATAGTGAAATTCCAGAGAGAGACAAAATAGTGTCTATTGTATCAGGAATCCTACGCTTGAAAGAATTTGATTTTATAGATACTTTTAAAACAGAAGCAATCACATCTATACAGGCTACTATAAAGCAATGTGTAATAGAAATTATTTCTAAAAGAGATGGCAATACAGAAATCGTATTAAGGGGATCCCACGCAGACAACATGCATTTAATGTGCAATGAAGGTATTATATTTCTTGAAAAAGTAAGTCCAAACTTAATGAATTTATTCAAGAGAATTTTAACTATTACCAACTTGATATTAGAAATCAGCCAAATGGATGATGTAACTGGTACTGAAAATGAAGAATATTGGACCCAGGAGGAATTAGTCTCTATTGAAGAAACTTTAAGGAAACTCATTGTGTCTTTATCTGATTACTGTAATGAACGCTGTGCCAATCTTATTGTTACAAAAAGTGAAAAGGACAATGCGTTAACAGATTTATCACAGCTTGCAAAGTTATCAGAATTGATAGAGCATTTTACTAATGAATGTGAAAAGATAACAGGTCATTGTAGTAATGCTATGAAATTAGCTTTAAGAAGTTTTGCAATGAAATATATACAGATTTTACACACTGAAAGAAGATCTCAACTCATATCAAGTCTTAATACTGAGAGATGGAAAACAGCAAATGTTCCATCAGAACTACAAAGTGTTATAAATTTGATTTGTGAAAATGGCGAAATACCTCCTGTAGTTTATTATGATTCTGGAAAATCTGATGGCACATACTTGATCATCAATAATGAAAACTTTGCTCTTGTTGGAACTGTGCAACTTTTGATTAAAATTCTACTTGAATATTGTGATGCCACAAAGCAATCTCCTGTTATAGTACAATATTTAATACATTGCATGTTGGAATTAATAAGATTGTTCAATTCCCGTTGTTGCCAATTAGTACTTGGTGCAGGAGCCATTCAAAGTGCAGGGTTAAAAACAATATCTACATCAAATCTGGCATTAGTTTCTAGATCTCTACAAGTAATATTATGGATTTTGCCACTGATAAAAGGTTTACTTGAAAAATTGCATTCTAAAGAACTGTCTCTAGTTGGTTTTAGTAATATGGAAAATGACATAATTAGTCATAAAAATGAAATAGAAAATAAGATTTGTCTAATAGTCACTAATATGTTGTGTTCTCAGTTGTCTGGTTGGGATGCAAAGCCCCCTGTACCATCACAAACATTCCGAAATATTTCTAAACATCTTGTTAAATTACATGAAGCACTTATTGATATTCTTCCCATAGAACAAATAAGGACAATTTATAAAAGAGTGCATGATAATTTTAAAGACAAATTGAGAGAACAATTAACCAAAATGAATATTGTTGCAAATGGTAGTCCCCAACATGGAGTAGTTACTTCAGAGCTTACTTTTTACTTGCAGACACTCAAAACTCTAAGAGTTATAAGTGAAAATGATGTTGAAGATAATATATTGTATGATATTTGGTTAAATTAGCAATTAATATAAGTATTCATGTATACATAATGCTGATTTTTATTGGTTGCAATGCCAAAAGTATCATTAAGATTACAGTTAGTACTTTCACTGTCCATATATTTAAGATTACATGAGATAGAAGTCTACTTAAATGCAATGTGATTTTTTTGACCACGCTTATCCTTTAATTCCTATTTAGACTTCAATCATGCTTGCGGGATAGAGTGGTCTAATTTTCTGTGCAATAGCTTGCTGTATTTTCACACAATGAGGTATGTTAGGCGAAGAAACGTCGTCGGGCATACTCAGCTACTTTCGGGACGTTAGGTCCTATTATCGGAATGTCCAGTCGGTTCATTAGGTCCATTTCCCTAAACATCCACTTTCCTGAAGGTCCAAACCTAGTGTTCTAGGGTCGATAATGTCCGAGTTATACAGGTGGAGGCGCCGAAACGCCCTTATAAGTGCTTAGCCTTAATCAGAAGTGGCTATCTCTAGGCGTAGGTTTTTAATTGACTAGGTATCTTGCTGGCGGTAATACGCAATCAAATATAGAAATAACACAAAATAACTGCGCCTTGCAAGAGAATCCAGTTTAACAAAAATAGAATGAACTATCAAGAAAAATAAAAAGCGGCCAAGTGCGAGTCGGACTCGCCCATGAAGGGTTCCGTAGCAGCAAGTAACATAATATAAAACCTGCCCCCCGCGCGCTCTGCACCCGCTACCGATCAAGCCACGCCCTAACAATTATAATTGTTAAGCAAATATAACTAGAAAAAATTCAACGCGGACCAAGCAGCAGCACCCTTCGCAATCCGGGCGAAATGCACTGACCAATTATGGACCGCGTCGAAATTCCTCTAGCCATTCTTAAGCTACAAGGCAGCCCATCGCTTCGCATTATAGGTAACCTACAATGTCAAATGAATACTTTTACAAGTATTTTAGATTTAAACATCACGCAGTTACATGCTTTAAAAAATAAAAATTATAATTGTTTTATCATTCTCTTACTGCAGAAGTCACAGGGGAGGGGACACGCATTTTACCACTTTGGAAGTCTCTCGCGTAAACTATTCAGTTTAGAAAAAAGAAATATTAGAATCTTCAATACCATTTTTAGAGGGGTGGGCGATTTTAGAATAACGATGCCAGGTTTGGATGCGCGCATCCGATGCGACTGCGACTGGATGCCGATGCTATCTAGTTTTTGTCAACGTTACTATAGCAACAGTGCCACAAACTTATCTGTGCCGGTGAAGATGTCGCGGTGAACAAATATGTCATGAAAATGTCACAATTCTCTGGATAAATTGTAGTTTCACATTTTCGCAACGGGCACTGAAAAGTTTGTGATACTACGATACTGACATTCACTTGGCATCGATGCCATGCCGGCATCGGTGCGCGGATCGGATGCGATTTATCTGATACCGATGCGCATCGATTTCATAAATATCTAAAAACGCCCATCTCTAATCATTTAAAGACCTATCCATAGATACCCCACACATATGGGTTTGATGAAAAAAATCTTTGAGTTTCAGTTCTAAGTATGGTGAACCCCAAAAATTTATTGGTTTTTTTTCTATTTTTGTGTGAAAATGTTCATGCGATTCACAGAATACATCTACTTACTTACTAAGTTTCAACAGTATAGTTCTTATAGTTTTGGAAAAAAATGGCTGTGACATACGGACGGACATGCATAATCTATAAGGGTTCCGTTTTTTTGCCATTTGGCTACGGAACCCTAAGAAATGGGGATATAGACACAACGATATTAAATACCCTAGATACACCAACACGAACAAAATCGTGGCCGAAACCTGTCCAAAATGTACATTAGACAATCCACCGAGCTCCGTACAATGATTGAGTTGTCAAAAACGATATAAGGCATTATTTAAACATTGAAAGTCACATTTAATGCATAGTGTATAAGATCTTAATTACAACGCATATGACAAAGAGTTATAACACTTCGAAATGCAAGCTCGTAAAATTTTACGACTTATTGCTATATGCGGAAGAATTTAGACGTTATTTCTTAGCAGGTACGGACCGCGAGGAAGAGATGGCTATATTAAATCAGTATATAGTAAGTATTAGAACAAAATTAGCTTCAAATGCGTTAAATTAACAAACATTGATTAGACCCCTGTCAAAAAAACAACACTAAGTAGGTACTTACTATAAGTATTTTTTTCGCATTTTTACACGGAGCTCTGCGGCAACTTGACTTTTCAACGGTTCGCGCGTGACTGTGAAGCAAGAAGTGCTTTCTTGAGTGGTGCTCAAGCACTTCTTGATTGGGACACATTTTGACGTGGTGTATCTAGGGTATTTAATATCGTTGTATATACATACAGCTTTTGAAGAGGAATATTTTGTTATATTACTTATTTTTTGAGCTTTTAACTACTAGATGTTTGACATTATGATATTATGCTATCGCGGGCCTAATGGCCATGTCGAATTTTCTCTAGCCTTAAGCTGCAAGGCAGCGCCATCTCTTCGCATTGTAGGTAACCTACAGTCAAATGAATACAAGTATAGTAGTTTAACATTTGAAAGAAGAAATAGAATTTATAGTTATATTATTATTTTTTTAAGCATTCAACTGGTACATATTTAAATCTGAAGAAAATATTACTAGAAAAAAATCCACGCGGACCAGGCAGCAAACGAGACTCGAACCCCCACCCTTCGCTATCCGGGCGAAGCACTGACCATTATGCTACCGCGGCCCTAATGGCCGTGTCTAGGAAAAGGAATATTTAATTCTGGCTGAAATGCAAATCATCTCTTATCTATTAGACAAGTCCGTCCGTCTGTGGTGCTGTTTCAGCGGCCAAACCGTAAGAGATAGATAAAGAGAATATTTAAGTTATAAGTTAAGAATAGTCTGATAAGACTACAAACCGGATTTGAGTAACGTAGCACTTCCGGTTTTCGAGAAATCACGAATTTCAAACCACACAAAATCTCCGAAGTTCTCAATTAATTAAATACATTTTTTTTAAATCAGGTTTTGGTGAACATTTGGTTCACTGGTTTGCTAGTACTTAATAACATATTAGGAAGTTGATTGAGTTAGTTCGGTGTAACTACTTTTCTTTCATTCAGATGAGTTTTTTTTTATGTTTAATAATTAAGTATTAAGGTAATGCAATATTTTGTTATTTGATTAATTAAATATACAGGCATTTGTAACCTATTTCCTTAAAACGTACGTACGTACATCCCTAAGATAACGACAATTTTAATAACCCTCTAGGAACATTTGTAAGTGGAAGATGTTCAGGAAGATGGACAATCAGGTAAGTATTCGGGAACGTGAACCCCGGGGCATGGCCGCACCGCGAAGAGTACCTGCTAAATCGCAAACGTTAAGAGTTCTCATACATTTGGCAACCCTGCGCGGTGCGGTCTCGCCCGCGACAACACAGGTCGTCGGATAGCACCTTGAGACGATCCGCGATCCTATCAGGCGACGACGGTACCAGTTGATGTGCCCTGTGAAACATTTTAGTAACGGTCATCGACGGCCAACACAAAGCGAACGTGTAGTATCTCTGGAAACATTAAATAATGCTATTTAGCACAGAGGAAAGATATCGAAAGACAAGGAGACAAAAATGATTATTTAGAACAAAATCGTTTATATTGATCATATTAAACTTATTTTTCACATTTAATAGGAAATAGGTATATCCCGAATAAGTATTTTTCAAGTTTCATAGAAATATGAAGCCATAGGATATCTAATGAGAAAAGCTAGAAGTGTACAACAACACTGTAAAGCTAATAAAGTAACAGTTAGTCGATCTTCAGACATTGGACCTAATTTAATCAGAACCAAATTAATCAAAGTCAAATTATTAATAGTAATGCTTTCCTTATCCTCAACTTTATCAATTAAACGTAAAATTGTTAGGACTTGCACTATAATTTTTCTAAAAAAGGTCAAGTCTTTCTTTGCGATTACAGTTCTGCTAGCTTGAAGCAAATCCATTTCTGCACTGTACTTTGGTAAACGATGCCTAGGGCATGGTATAATATGAAATAACTGTGGAACCGAATAAATGAAGTTCATGATTTGTGGTAAAAAGAATAACAGAACGGTTTTACTAAAATGACTCAGAATGCCTACTACGGCAAATGTCATTCCAGATACATAGCAAAATGTATCTCCAACGAAGACTTTCGAAGGGTACCTGAAAAATATTTTATTCAATTAACCACATGTTTAAAAAAAAAATCAATTACTTTACTAAATTAACATTGACAAGATAAGTAGGTACAAATAGAAATAAATATTTACAGGGCAGTTTGACACGACGACGAAGCCGCCATCGTGAAATGTACTCAGGTACGCCATCAGTATGCAAATAAGCATGGATCTTGCTTTAAACGAAATCTTAACTTTAGATTTTTTAATCCTTTAATTTAATGATGTACCGTAATCACATTCTAATATAACTAGAAATATATCAGTAACATCTGTTTACTCTTGAACATGGTATTAAACTAATTAAATAAAAAAAACTAAAATCTAAAAAATACTATCATGAAATTTGAGGGACACATGAGCAAGGGCGTGATATCAATATCTAAATACAGTGGAATGGCAAAATCGCTTAACCGCCACTTTAGAAACATACCTAACTTTACAGAAACGTTCACTACTTTTAATACTTTTTATTTTCACACAAAAATCGTAATATTGATAACTTTCATTGCATATGTATATAAAAATACATTTTCTAAATATTCTAGTCTAAGATCCAGTAGCATCAAGTCGGTGTCACCAGTGTAGGAAGGCCAAAGGATGTTAGCTCAGAGAGGCCGCGCGGCCGCGGCCCGACTGATGTTGGTCGGGCATTGTAAATATGAAAAGTAAGCCTCCGTATTTCTATTGTGCGCTGTTTGCTTCCATACTTTTCGAGTGCAGCGCCGGTAACGCCATCTGTTATTATTATCATTTGAGTGCAGCGCCGGTAGGACCATTAGTCGTCAAGTCCTGTACCCTTAGTACGAGTTTTACAATTACGAAAACTATGATAGTTTTCGTGAGCTCGCACTCGTAGATTTTATTGTTATCGTTTCAATACAAATAAACAGTGTTTAAATTCTATCATTAATCATATGCGTCTTCTTAAATTTCAAGGACATTTGGTTACTTATCAATAAAATGGACATATAAACATAATTTACAATTACGAAAACTATGATAGTTTTCGTGAGCTCAAACTCGTACTAAGGGTACTGCTCCGTTAATTATAATATGTGGGGTGTGTAGATGTCGCCGCCACATCACTCCCCTCCTAAACCGGAAGTCGATAGTCTGTACGTCAGCGCTTGCAAGTGCCAGAGTGCTGCAGGGTGCCCCAGTCTCGGTGAGTTGATACAGGTGCAGTGTGACGGTGAGTCCGAGTTAATGGTGTGCAGGGCTGCTACGCCGGGGTGCTTGCGGCCGTCAAGTGTGGGCTACGGAGACCAGATCGGGATGAGATGCCGTCGAGTGCTGCCAAAGGAACCAGGAAGCATCGTTGAGTGATGCGATTGAACCTTATGGTTGTGTTGATGCTGGCTTGCTGTGTGACTTGCAGATTTTGCTTGACCTGATGAGGAAGTAGTTTGGCAAGGGCTGAGCCGGGGCGAGAGCGGCAAAATGAAAAATATACTTATGTTAATAATTTAATATGCCATCTTCCAACCTATAGGTTGAATAGTGCGATATTTAAGTACAATATCTATATTAGAGGAAAGTCGATTAAGGAAACCCTGAAAGAAAAAGAAATGGTACATGCTATCTATGAGGATATAACTAAAGCCTAACATACCGCGACCATTGTGTACATTGTTGTGCTTGGGGATTTTAATGCAAAGCTAGGCAATCAAGAGCTAGATGGGCTGGTCACATGGAAAAGGTGAAGAAAATGGAGCAAGTCAGTAACGTTATGGTACCCAAGAGAGAAAAGAGAAGGAAAGGGAAAACACTCAAAAGATGGGAGGATGAGATAGTGATGTTAACCGGAAAAACTTCGACAAAGCTGGCTAGGGAGAGGCAAAAGTGGAAAGAGGAGACCTTTGCCAAAAGGCACACAGAGTTAGAAGAGTACTAAAAATGAACTCAATTTTTTTTATATAAACAATCATGAGATTCTTTGAAGCACTATAAATAAATAAAGATGCTTAAGCACCAAAAAGTGCTTCAATCCTTACGAAACATAAACATATTGACAAAAAAAAACTGATTTTTAACCAAAGTGGCAGTTAAGCGACTTTGCCTTTCCACTGTTGTTATAATAATGCTTAAATAAATATAATGAAAATAACAATATATATTTACTTTACCTAAAATAATATACCCACCAATTATGTTTCATCAAGGCTAATGTTGTTGCCAAATAAGGTATCATTATGTGTAGTGAAAATGTATGAGCTTTAAATTGATCTCCTCTTAATTCAATTATGTCAAATATTATAATAGATGCAGCTATTACTATTGCTTGTCCAACTTCAAGTCCATTGATTCCAGCCAAAATATTTATAGCATTTGTACAGAAAACAGCTAACATGCCCATGTAAACATAATACAGAAACCCTGGAAATAAATTATATTTTTAAAAATAATTAAATAGATGTCATTCAACAAAATTTCCTATATTAATATTTACCAATATTGATTGAAACTCCTAGCCATTGCCGAAATGGTATAGGTATAACAAAAGTGGTAGAGTTAAAATTTACATAATATACAACAAGTAATGGCAATGATGCCACTGTTGGGAGGAGTAGTTTATATCTCCATTTCAAATCAAGCACATCATCTGCAAATCCTAATAACAACATACAGCATATTGATAGAAGGGCTGCCAGCAGTTCTGCAAACTAAATGAATTATATAATATTTATTAACATGAAGGTTTAAAGTAGACAATCATAAGTAAATTTCATGTAAAAATATAGATTACAGGATTACCAGTAGCAGGGAAGAGGGGGTAGGGTTACCATCCATTTCAGGGAGGAAGCCTGAAGAAAAGCTCCCGATTTTTCGGAAAAAACCCTGTCTATAGTAAAAAAATCTGAAGCAAACTTAATAAAATAATCTTAATTTTTTTTTTTAAACGTAAACAAAGTGTCTCACAAATTCCCGCTATCTCATTTTTCCATTAATGTATAATGACTATGCTCAGCATGCACGTGTAGCTCGATGCACAGGTGTTGTCGTGGCTACGCGAGCAATGCACGAAATTCACAAATGCCCGCTTAGCACCAGCCGCATGCCTATCTAAACCGTGAAATGCCAATCAAATGCAGTGAATGCCTGTCAGATAGTAACCATAAGAGGGGAAGGGAATTACCACACCCACTGCCCTGCAAAAATTTATAGTTTCCGAGATATTCATTATAATATTCATGGTTATAATTTTGAGTTTAGGTTTGTACATATAGTATTTTTACAGCCATCAAAATTTTTTAGCAGTGCAAGATTTTCAGGACCTGGAATGGAGAGGAAAGTTGAGGAACACCACCACAACTCTTACTCAAATTTCTTAAAAAATAATCAATGAAACTTTGAAAGTTGTGAAACACCATGAAAAATAAAAATTACATACTTTTTTTCTAATAAAATCTGCACTTTGAAACTTGATGACTTTTAAAAATACGATTTTTCTGCCATAAAATTACTGTCAGCCAAATCGACCTCCTCTAATCTATATTTTAACCAAATTTTTAAATAATAATTTACATACTTCATTATGGGGGAATAATTCTCTTTCAATTAGATCATTTCCAAATACAATGGGTATAAATATAAAACTTGTTACTAAAAAAACACATCCGGAAATAACACCGATCGCCTCTGGTCTGGAAAAAGTGTGTGTCGTGAAAATCTATAAGTTACTATACAGAATTGATAAAATGAAACCACAAAAATTTATGAAGAAGCAAATTACTCACATTTTTTTATTATTATTTTTACACAGGTCAACCCCATATAGACCAGCCTTAATAAATAAGTCTTTGAGTTTAGGTATTAATTCATCTGTTACTAAATACGACAAAATTGATAATATCACCAAAATTAGGATTGACCACATGATAACCTAAAACTGACACCAAGATATCAAGACCACAATATTTGTATTTATTTCGTTGAAATACAATGGGTAACATTTACCAAATTTTGACTTAAATTATTATCTACCACCAAAAATAATATTAAATATTGTCCTCATTGTAAATAGCACAAGTTAGTGTGTGGTTATTGCATTCGGCAGTACCTCACAGATCACTTTAGATGTGTCAAAAGTCAAAACAAACAATTTTTTTTTTTGATAAGTTTTACGGCCGTGAATTTCTCCATTTCGGCCATTCATTAGTACATTTCATCATTTTATATGTTTTCGAAAGTGTTCATTACATATTCAAATAATATAGGATATGTATTAGTATTTTGTATGATAGATGGCAATTGGCTGGGTATTCTGCAGTTATTATATATCTATATTAAGCCATCTATCAATAACATTCTCTGTATAAAGAAGGCAGGACATTCTAAAATAAGATGCTGTAAAGTTTCCTCAATCTTGGATTTACAATACCGACAATCATTTTGGTCTTCAAGTTTAATCCTGTTTAAATGCTCCCGGAATCTTCCATGACCAATTCGTAAGCGGTTCATAGTAGTAATATATTTTCTAGATGGATTTTTCAATTTTTGGTGCCATGGCTTCTTAGGTATCACATCATGAATGTTGGCATACCATGCTCCTTTAACTTTTCTAGTTTCTTCCCAATACTTATTCCACGTCAAATACATTCTGTCTTTTATTGCACTATAAAAATCCGTAAAAGGAATTGAGGCGTTTTCATGAACTGGAATGTCGAAAGTACCTTTCATCAACGAATCAGCTATTTCAATTCCTGTAATACCTGAGTGAGATGGCACCCATAGAAATTCAACAATTTTTCCCATATCATATAGAACTTTTAAAATTTATTTTGCAGAATATATGTATATGTTATTCTTATATGATAATGTAGTATTATCCAAACATTTCAATACACTCAGTGAATCTGTGACAATCAAATACCTTTTCGGTAACATCTTTTTTATATATTTCAAAACTTCATGGATAGCATATGCTTCTGCCGTAAAAATTGATGTATTGTTATGTAATCGAAAATATCTGCCAATTTCCAATGTAGAGTCATAAAAGGCTGCCTTCACATCATGCGTAGTCTTGGAACCATCTGTGTATAGTATGCGATGTTCTTTTCTCTCACTATTATTTATGAAACTCAAAAATTCTTCATTGTTCGTAATTTTAATGTCATTGTATATCAAAGGTTTGACCATATGTACCTCTAACGAGCCACAATTCCACTTTTCCGTCTTATAAACATTTTTACACAGTTCTTGTAGTTATTATTTATCCTTATTTTCTAAATAGATATTATTGTTTAAGTACATATTGCTGTATTCAACGTTACTATACATTTTTACAAAGAATTTCTCAGCTAAATATTTGGCCCTAATATGTATCGGTGGTATACCTGATTCTATTTCTAGAACATTGATAGGGGACGAACACATTGCTCCAGTAATAAGTCTTAAGCTTTTATTCTGTACAATTCTAATTTTCTAATTAAACTATTATTAACAAATTTACTATATACAATAAGACCATAATCATAATGGCTCCTAACTATAGCTACAAAAATCATAAAAAGTATTTTAGGATCCATTCCTCAGCTAAGACCAGCAAGACATTCTAAAATATTGACACGTTTTTGCATTTTAATAACCACACTGTGTACATGAGCATTAAAAGACATTTTGCTGTCGAATATGATTTCCAAAAATTTGTGCTCGAAAACTTGCTTGATTTTAGTGGAATTTATTGCTATATTTACATTACTATTACACAAAGATTTACTGAATAACATAAAACTGCTCTTGGCAGGGTTTAATTCTAGTTTTAACAGGTTTTTGTAATACAAATTTATTTCATCAAGGGCTTTATTGATTACAATCTGAGCTTCACTTATATTTCTAATGGAGGTATAAACGACGAGATCATCAGCAAATTGTAACATTCTGACATTATTAAAATTGACGAACCTGTGAATACCAGCGGTGTACAACAAATAAACCAAAGGAGATAACGATGCGCCTTGCATTACACCCTTAAAAACTAGCCTAGGACCATAAAAATTGTTATTAAATTTTATAGAAATTTGTCGACCATAAAAGAAATTAAAAATAAATTGCAATATCTTTCCTGGGATGTTCAAAGAGTTTAAAATAACAACTAAAGTTTCTAAATCTACATTATCAAAAGCACCTTTGACGTCTAAAAAGACACTTATTAAATTGGAATAGTTATATAATGACTTTTCTATATCATCAGCAAATTTCAACAGGCTGTCTGTAGTGCTTTTTCCTTTACTGAAGCCAAATTGTTCTATTGGAATGATATTTGAGTTTTGTACAAAAGATTCCAGTCTACATTTAATCATATTTTCAAAAATTTTGCCTATACACGATGTTAAAGATATAGGTCTGTAGGAATCGGGAGAAAGTGGATCTTTATCTGGTTTCAAGATAGGGACAACCGTTACTTTTTTCCAGTCTAGTGGTATAATATTTTTATCCCATAAAGAATAAAAAATACTCAACAAAATATATCTGCAATTTGCATGCAACTTCTTTATAAGAATATAGGGTATTTCATCAGGCCCAGGAGTAGTATCCTTTCTACTATACAAGGACAAATTAAATTCAGATTCTGTGAACGGCCTAATTAAATGCGTATTTATTATATTTTGATTAAATAATAAATTTATCGAATCAGAGTTTAATGTATTCTGATCTGAGGATAATTTGTCCAAGAATGCTTCAACCCAACAATCATCTTTAGTTTGAACCCTGGGTCTATTTTTATTAAATTTCTTTATAAAATTCCAAATCCGTGAACTTGGTGTCATTCGATCAAATGTTGAACAAAGGGAAATCCAGGAAAGTTTTTTTTGCTCTTTTATGATTAATTTCTTCTTTGCGTCTAACTTTCTATAAATTATATAGTTTTCTCCACCGGGAAGTCCGTGGCAACCAAAGCAGCCGCTCTCAACAGTCCAAGCGGCGCGAAGCGAAGCGAAAAATGTCGGCCATTCCGGACTTTCAGTTAGAAATGCCATTTTCTCGCTAAATACTGAAGCTAGGACCAAACAAAAAATACTACCGTAAAGCTGATTAAATAAAGAATCTACTACAGAACACTTGGATCTCTGTAACTCGAAAAACGATTAAATAGAGCGGGTTGAACCCAACAAAAAGTCAATTTTTAATAAACTTTTAAAATTAAACGCCTATTTCCTAATGTTAGTTACGAAAATGTCAAAATTAGTTGTTCTCAAAATGCAGGAAATTTAACTACCTTTCTAATGATATCAATAACTTTATTAAATTCAGTCTGTATCCTTTTCAGTAAAGCAAAATCTAACATCCTGTCGACTTCTCATCCACCACGGCTTCGGCCATTTCGGACGACGGAAATATTCACAAGATGGCCGCCGTTCCTAAGGCTCAATACGGACTTTGCGTAGTAGCCGAGTAGGTTACTTCTAAATATAAAGAATTCAATATTTTATATTTTTTTTATTTTCAATAAATACCTACGTACCTACATACCTACTATATATATGTATATTATTTATGTATGATATATACATAAATAATATAGATATATATAGTGTATGATATATATATCTAATATGTAAAATTCTCGTGTCACGGTGTGCGTAATTGAGTTCAATTACGCACACCGTAGGAGTAGTTACTCCGATAAGGCTCGACCGATTTTTTATTTGCATATTCAGTAGGTCTGAGATACGAACAACATCTATTTTTCATCCCCCTATATATATATATAATATATATTTTATCTTCATGCAGATGATCAGGATGTTGGTTGCTTTCTCCTTATTGGGCCGGCCTGTCGCAACTGTCATTAGGTGCGAAATCTGAAAGACAGTTATATATTTATTAAAATTAGAAAAGCAAGAAAAAAACGCGTCCACAACAAAAAAAATATGAACAAACAAACCACCTCTTTTAAGCACATGAGTAAAAGTAGACCACAAAACATAGCTAAGAGTAAAAAAAGCTTGTTTTTAAGTTTTTTTAGTTTAAAGATGCTATGTGCATCTTCATCATCATCAAGAACTTTAAAACCCCACATTTATAGCTAGTTTTTTTTTGTTGATACCCTTTAGGAAAGCGTAAAAAACTTAGCAGTATAAAAAAGCGGTATTGAATTAAGTTGACGTCACTTTATTTATCGAGTTATTCTCAGCAAGCCTTTTCATTTGATACCCATATTGTAGCAAAACATAAAAAAACTTTGTCCGCCATATTGGATTTAAAGTGACGTCACTTTATTTATCGAGTTATTCTCAGCAAGCCCTTTCATTTGATACCCATATTGTAGCAAAACATAAAAAACTTTGTCCGCCATATTGGATTTAAAGTGACGTCACTTTATTTATCGAGTTATTCTCAGCAAGCCCTTTCATTTGATACCCATATTGTAGCAAAACATAAAAAAACTTTGTCCGCCATATTGGATTAAAAGTGACGTCACTTTATTTATCGAGTTATTCTCAGCAAGCCCTTTCATTTGATACCCATATTGTAGCAAAACATAAAAAACTTTGTCCGCCATATTGGATTTAAAGTGACGTCACTTTATTTTTTGTGTTATTCTCATCATGCCCTTTCATTTGATACCCATATTGTAGGAGTGCATCGAAAATAGCTAGTCCGCCATCTTGTATGTTCCGCCATATAGGATTTTGAATGACGTCACACAGCTCACCATGCATTATAATCCAAACTAAACGTGTGTACAAAATTTCAGCTCAATCGAATGAAAACAACTGCTTCAAAATTGAGTTGCAAGATTCCAACCGAACAAACGTACATACATAGCAATTAAAAAAAAGATTTCATTAATATTTTACAAAAAACACTTGGTAATAATTTTCGTTCCCAATCTAAAAATTAACAAACGAACAAACAAACTACCACATAATTATAAGCACACTCCAGATAAAAAAAGAAATTTAAAATTGTTATCTGTAACGACCCTTATTTACTAACAGTACATAGTAGCTGTTACGTCATCGGCGACTCATCGGTAAACAATGAACAATACCCGTCACAAAATACATGAATCTAGTGCTAACTTACATGTTTACTTGATTTTAACTATTGAAATAAGTTTTTTAATTAATTACACGACGTAATTTATCAATAATCAATAACAATTTAGTATTTAACTATTAATTATACGCCATTGAAATCCGCCGAATGTTTATTTTGACGTGACAACGTCTTAAATTAGGTTGCGGCTGGGAGTCACTTATGAAAAAGTGTAACGCTCGGTAACGTTACGATGAGTTTAAGTTTACATGTACAATGTTTTAGTAAACAAAATATATTTCTATAGTTAAAATTTGTGCAATTCTTATTTTCATTCAATTCCTTGTTCCTATTGTGCAATTTAATTATATTCATATCAATAAATATTCTACCGAGAAAAAGACGTTGTCACGTAAAATCTTCGCCCGTAAAACCGACTTTACAGGCAACCATTTTTTTTCTATCAACAAATCTTCAGGTTATTTTTATAATTTTCAGATCATTTTGCTCGTGATAATCTTTTGAAAATATGAAAGCCTGTATTATCACAAATATCTGGATATATAATATAACAAAGATAAAAAAAAATGGTTGCCTGTAAAGTCGGTTTTACGGGCGAAGATTTTACGTGACAACGTCTTTTTCTCGGTAGAATATTTATTGATATGAATATAATTAAATTGCACAATAGGAACAAGGAATTGAATGAAAATAAGAATTGCACAAATTTTAACTATAGAAATATATTTTGTTTACTAAAACATTGTACA